CCCTAAGGTGGACCTAAGTCCTCAGGCCTCATATACGTAGATGCATCCTATCGTATGACGAACACAAACAAGGCCTAAGGGGTGATTGAGAAGTGATTGGCGGCGGCGACCCCTCGCGCCTGGCCTTAGTCGAGGCCACTCCGCCACAAGCCGCGTCTTCTTTCTGTGAAGCAGTTATGCTCACAAAGAAGCCGTCTCGGTAGGCGACACTCCGGGCGTCGAGGATCGTGAAACGATCTCCGGCCACCGTAAGCCACCCGACCAAAAACAGACCTAAGCGTACAGCGCGTAGCGTACCACAGACGGGGCCCTATAGAGCTGATGTTTACCCGGGGTTGCGGATTAGATAAGTGCAATAAGGCACAGCAGCCTCGACCTGGACCAGGAAAATGAACGGAATGGTTTTTAGTCCCCCCAACCATTCATTAATTAATTTACCCCGTAAAACAACAAAGTCAGATCATGCTCGCATTAGCTTCCAATACGCGACAGTCAATCAGGGTCAATGTGCTGAAGAATAGCCAGCTGCTATGCATCATCTACCTTCACATCTTTGGTGACTGCTGGCACTGACGAGTCTTGAGTACAGTTCTTTAGGTCTTTTGTGCTAAATAACAGATAAAAAAATCTAGATACTTACATGTACAACCTGATTTCAAAACGTTGTTTGTTATGGTCCATCTTAAGACCCACAGAAGCCAGGCCCTTGAAATGACTTAGGTATATTCACATACCTAAGTCCTTCCGCACGAGAGAATTCCGTAAAGCAGTGTGTCGGCCTTAATTAGCCACTTAATTCCTAGATTTATCAATGTATTAGTCGGGTTTTCTTCATTTCACGTTTCCTTATTTACCTACTTAATACTATTAGAATTCTCTCATGCAGAATAAACATTGGTACTTATCTACTTACTTGCTACAAAATAATTAAAGTACTTAGGTGCCTAAATTAGAAAATTGATCACATTTTTAACGTTTAGGATTTTTGCCTGTGTCATGGGTGTGTGTTTTTTTTTTCTGAGGGGAAAATCATCAAATGACTTCTCCCGCCCAGGGCCGGGCAGGAGGGAGTGTCAGACTCTTACTGACTAAAAACCCCCCTGTTCCTTCTCCTGCTCTGTGCCGAGGTCGCGGTACCTCATTGCGCTTACCCCGCAACCCCGGCTGAACATCAGCCCTTTAGGGCCCCGTCTGTGGTGGTCGAATGGCTCTTTGAGGCGCGCGCGGAACGCTACGAGCCGTACTCTCGGGCCTGGTTCTGGTCGGGCGGCGAGCTGCCCTTACTCGCCGACCGCAGGCCCGTGCTTACGGTGGCCGGAGATCGTCCCTCGATCCCCGACGCCCGTAGTGTCGCCAGTTGCGGCTGCTGGGGCGTGAGGAGGAGGATTGCTCCCTCACGCGGGCCGCCTCTCTCTTTGCGAGCATGACTGCTTCACAAAAGGAGGAGACGGCGTCCCAGTTCCTCTCACTCCGCACCATGGCCTCGACTAAGGCCGGGCGCGAGAGGTTGCCGCCGCCGATCACTTCCCTGAGGATACGGCGGTGCTCAGCCCAGGCAGGGCATACCGCTACCGTATGCTCCACCGTATCCTCTAGGTGGTCCTCACAATGACGACACTCGGGCGTTTCCTCCCGCTGAATCCGAAACAGGAACCTACCGAAGCTGCCGTGCCCGGTAAGCACCTGGTCATGGGTGTGTTAAGGTACAAACTGACACGATTTCACTCCACATTATATTATCCTGATTCTCAACAATTTGGGTATCACAAAAAATATTTTTTCGTGTAGAATATGAGTCCGCATCGAGATTAGTAGCTATTAGAGATTTCAATTTTCTTATTTCCTACGTTATATTAATAAACCAGCTTCCGGCCGCGGCTTCGCCCGCGTAGAATGTTGATAAAAATCAGCTTTTTTGTGATGGGAAAATCGTCAAATTATTTCTCTCAACCAGGGTGAGGCGAAAGAGAGTGTCAGACTCTTACTCACTAAAACCCCCGTTCATTCTCCTGCTCCGTGCCGAGGCCGCGGTGCCTTATTGCGCTTGCCCCGCAAACTCAGCTTGATACAAAACGGAATTATTTACGTCAATCCAGTTTTAGTTAGAATAGGTATCTACTTATGGTTGAGTTTGGCAGTGCTGGTGTACGTGTCATGTTCGTGAACGGGCGCCGCCTATTTGGATTGGTCATCTCCAGGCTGTCTAAATATGTTGTCCTTGAGGTTTCGGATTCTTTGCCTGAAGATTAGTGTTACACTGTTCTCACTTACCTACCAGAACCATGTAGTTTCTTGCTCGTTCTTCTCCAAAGGAGTCTACCTACACTTTGGAACGAGCAAATAGCTTCACTAGAGAACAGTTTAGACGACGACTTTAGACGCTTAATGTTAAAGCTCTTGAAATACTTTATTCCTTTTTTGCTTGACGCTCAAAATTGCCTACTGTGGTCTAATTGAAATTATTTTGACTTTAATTTGTATTAGGGTTTCACCTATCTACATGATATGTACACATACCTACCAATTTTCAACCAAATCGGTCCAGCCGTTTTGCATGAAATAATAACAATCATACATCCATTCATTCTTACAAACTTTTGTAATATTAGTAAGACATTTATAATATTAGTAAGTTTGTAGGATTTCATAACAGAAATCCAACCCTAATATCATTCGAATGCTAATTTTATTCAAGTATTTTCCAACCAATTGGGTAATAACGTACCCCTCCTCCTTGAGACTATCAAATATTCAAATTAACCCTAATTTGTCGCTTAGGGCAGCGACTTTTGAGCTGATTACAGGCATTTAGGACTTAAGTAATAAGTCTAGAGTGCACTAGACAGTTTATTAGACGTTAATAAGTGCTTTGGTGATATCGACAAAGTAAGTAATTAAAACTCTTTAGTTTTATGCCAATCAAGGAGATAGGGGACTTAATTCTGATCTATATAAGATCTTTTTTTTTTTCAAAATGTAAATAGATATTTTCTATTTAGACGGGATTTCGATTTAAAGAACTCATTGATATGCATACTTGCCTGCATATTATCAACTTACATGTGCCCACTGCTGAGCAAAGGCTTCTCCCATAGAGAATATAACTACGGTTATATCGTCATTGGCCTCTCCTCACACGGAGAAGGTTTTGAGCACCAATCACCAAGCTCGCTCAAAGCGGATTAGCGATTTCACAAGGCACTTGTGTCTTCACCTGTGTCTTGATCTCATTCAGAACCGAAACTACATAGTGTGGATCACACAAAGAATTGTTTTTTGGAAGGAATTCAACTCGCTATACGTCTCAAGAGCAGCCGAATTATTATGTATATAATAAGGATACATTGTAGATGGATATCTACATTTAATATACATTATATACTAAATAAAATAATTTTCTACGAATATAAAAATTTATTTTATCCTTTTTTATGACTTACCTACATATATTTAAAAAAAAAGTTTGAGGCTATATATAAACAATATGATTTTATAGACAGATCTACATATTTATAGAAATGACTATTAACATAACTGTTTTTAACTATGTCATATCAAATTGGCACAATACATATTATTGATTTAAGTATTGCAAAATGACCAACTAGATTATTTATTTTCATGGAAATTAAGAATGATTTTCTTATAGCTTATTAAATAATGTATTTGATGAGCTTGTAAAAAAGGTTATGAAATACATTATTTACATTATATCTTTTATGTTACATCATTATTTACATTACAAAGACTATTTTCAAAGAGTGATGATGGAGTTTCTTGCCCATTCTTCTCCATTTGAATCTACAATTTGGAACGAGCAGCTAAAAGCCTAGCTTCACTGACAAATGGCCTGACAGACTATTATTCTATTTTGATGTTTCAAAAGGTTTAGTTGGAATAAATGTCTTTGACTTTACCTATGATAGCACAATTTTAACTTATTACAATTTATTATACATATATATATTATTCAGAAATGTAATCACATTTTATTATCAGTTTTGGTGTGATTAGACCATGATTCATATTTATTTCAACTTAGTAAAGTGACAGACAGGATAGGAAGTTAGTAGTGCTTTGCTTGGCCAAACAACCCAGACTATCCAAACTAATATTATAAATGCAAAAGCAACCCTGTCTGTCTGTGCCTTTTCTTCACGTCTAAACTACTGAACTTATTTGTGTGATATTTGGTACAGACATAGTTTGGAACTTGAAAAAGGACATAGGATAGTTTATAGACCAATAATCTGCAGAAAGTCACTATCCCAGGCGAACAAAGTCGCGCGCAACATTTAGTTTTTAAAATATCTATTAACATTTGTGCTTAACATTTTCTCAACAGAATAAATCAAACTGAGTAATATATGATTCAAAGCAAAGTAACACACAGTTGAACTGTTTTTAGCAAAAGATTAACACTTAATCCTAAAAATATACTTTGCCACAAACTATTATCACATTTTTTTAACTTAAATATCATGGCTGACAGAGATGTTTGTTTAAATCTCTGAATGATCATGACTCTTTCTAATAGTGCCATATTGCTTTTGGAAAGTAGCAAATAATCAACATTACAGATAAGAATTCATAGAACTTAATCTTTTGATATGTACTGTAGTCCATACTGCCTTATTCTGTTTATTTAAGTCATTGTTTTTTGCTCTTCTTCATAGAAATCCACACTTTGGAACAAGCAAATAACTTCACTAGAGGACATTTAAAGGTACCAGCTAAAGTGGTCTATTCAAAAATGATTTGTCTTTCTTTATCCTGCTTAAATAAATCATTAAGTCTATGTTTAAAAATGAGTTTAGTAGAACATTTACATTAATCTTAAAGTAAATATTATTATAATCATCAAATGTTCTTTTTTTCAAATTCTAGCTGTTTCTTCTGCATTCTAAATAATTCTAATTTATGTGGATATTTCTTTTTACATAAGGTCCGGCTGTATGTAGTCATTTCACTACACACAATCACATTTACGAATGAACAATCTATCGCTCATTTGGAGTATACAATGCTTCATCATTCAAATTGCGACGTTTTTTTGGATCTATCTTGAGTTCATCTTGTAACTGTCCGATACCAATAAGCATCATTTTAATATGTGCCTTTATCTTAGCCGCCTTATTCTGTAATGCCGCAGCCATATCCTCGAACGCTTTTATTCGTACGTCCAAATACTTATTGGCTTCTTCTAAACCAAACTCCAGATAAGTGTTCAAACCAACATTCATAAGTAACGTCGACGTATCACGCACTGCCGCCTCCATAAAAAAGTTACAACCTATATTTACCTGCGTCTTGAAGCCGTTAGGATGCATTTTTTTATCTGTGATCACTCTTATTGTATGTTTCTCTTGAATTAAGTCTGATATTTCCGAGTTGATTCTTTCTAATCGTATTTGCACTCGACGGAGATCTTCTTTGAGTACGTCGTTGATAAAATTCTCGTATTTAAATATTGTCTCTTCTATTTTAGGGTCAGACATTGTAATGTATTATTTTTAAACAATTTTCTACTTGAATTTGTTGTTGTTATTCTTACATACTTAACCTCCAAATTGTTTTACAGGTACTTTATGTTCTTATGGTACTGTAGCCACCAAACGTTTATTATGGTACTACTCACAGATATAAATTTAAAAATTACTCTTACATACGAGCCAATTATTACAAATGTATCCCAAAGTAGAGTAGTATTTTCAAGACCGGGAAAACAGAATTTTGATAAGAGTTCATGTATCACAGTGACAGTTCAGACATAACATGTGTGTTTACAAAGAAAGTAAAAATATTGACATGAAAAAGATAATGTGTGCTATTAGTTAAAAAAGAAAGTAATTAGTCAAAAAGATAATCATAGTATAAATGGATGTTTTTATTTAATTTCTATATGCCATGGAATAGCAAAAATATTTGTTTTACATAGCGACATCTATATTCACCTGGATGTACTAATATCTAATATGTCAGAATGTGACATCTAGCGGAACATACCTGCACTACCAGAGGTGTAGTTAAGTCATAATTATCCCATCATACGAGTTGCGTGTGCAACAGAAACTGTTGTTAACTTTGGATATTTTTATCATTGCTACAAGATGGCGGTACTATCTACAGCAGCGGATTTCAAGTACTTTCGCGCCAAATGATGAATGAGTTCCTACTTCACTATATATTTACTATGTTGGTAGATTTTAATTCCAATAAGAGTAAATATGATTACCTCCGGTTATTTTTTTTTTTTTTTTGCTTGCAATAAACCAGTGCTTGACTGCTGCGATCCCACCTGATGTTAAGCAGTGATGCAATCGTTGATGGTAAGGCGCACTAGTTTATTAAGAGCCTATTCACTCTAGCCTTGAAGACACCTAAGTTGTATTCGGACGGAAAGACTGCAGCCGGCAAACTGTTCCAATCCCTCGATGTACGCGGTATAAATGACGAGGCAAAACGCTTAGTCCGGGCCGCAGGTGTCTCAACAACGTAGGGGTGGATATTCGCCGTACGCCGGGATGTCCGAAGGTGAAATTGGGATGGCGGAATCAAATCGTGCAATTCCTGGGCACACTCTCCAAAATGTATCCTGTAGAAAACCGCAAGGCTGGCTACTCTGCGCCTGTGCTCGAGACTTTGAAGAAAAAGTTAAAAGTTATCGTTGTTAAGCTTTTAGGCAACTCCTTATAAAGTTGTAAGTATGCATTCCGATGAAACTAGGAACTTAGTAGGCACCACTACCTACCTAATTCTGAATCAGTATTTTTTTTTAGTATTCAGGACCACCATTTTTGTAAAGGTTTGAAATTCTCAGCTATTATTTTATTACCTACTCAGATTCAGATTACTTACCTACCTGCAACCACAATATCTATTGACAGCGACAATAAGGTTAGAGACACACTTGTGTGTTGTGGCGTGTCGTGTCGTGATAGAACGGTTTTATGCATTCGACAGCGAGCGACATGGCACAACACGCCACGCAAGATGCTAACCATAGTGAATTCTATAGTGATACGCTATACCACAGAATATAATATGAAGGTATTTATTTCTGGTTTATTACAGTACCTACGTAGAGTAACTTTGTAGGCAAATCTCTAACCACCTACAAAAGAAACATACTTACCTACATATTTGTTGTCTGTCATGTTAGCTCTGAATTCAATATAGGCAAGATGTACATGGGGACTGGGATAAGGAAAGGTTTCATAAATAAATCAAACAAAACTTAAAACGATCATCGAAACCGTTTATTTGACAAGAAATAGTTTAAATATCACTTTTCACATTAAAAACCAGCAAAACTTGCAGAAATATCTCATATTTTATAATGTATTCGATAAATAAATATTACAAGGACATGTACAATACATTGATTGGGCCTTAGTCATAAATGCTATTTTTTTTTTATTAGTAGACATTTCGCTGTCAAACATGGCGATGGCGCCAAAACAGCTCTGTTTTTAAATAAAATTACCTATGTATGACCCGATAGGAAACAGTCGAATGTGCATGTAAAGTTTAATAAATACGATAGATGAAGCGAAAGAGGTTGTATTGCCAGAATTGTGGCATCTCAGCTCACTGTTAAAGGAGATATCTATTCAAGGAGAGAAAATAATTTATGAACAAAAGTAGGTAAACAATATTTAATCTGTAGAATTATTGTATACTTATTTCTTACAAACTTAAATGGTAATTCGAAACAAATTGACGAAGTGAAAAGGATTTTTTGTATTTTTATGGTATTTGAACGAAACTAGAACATTTTCAGACTAAGGCCCATTGCCACAGACAATAAATAATCCAATAATAGCAACGATAGCACTTAAAATATTTATTTATTTCCACGAAAATATATTACTATATTCACAGAAACAAAAATTACTTAAGTTTGTGACATAATTTGAATTGTCGTGCGCAATAATTAATTAAATAGATACAATATAATACAATAAAAGTGTTTACGGACAAGATGTCAACAATTTAATTAAATAAATTATATTATTGTACAACTGGGAATTTGTAACGTTCACACATGCAGTTTATTTTACACAAACTATTAGTCGTTAACAAAATTGTAGATGGTCCATGTGTACTGATTAGAAGAAAAAACACAGGTTATTTTAAATGCGGTATTATGGACTAAGGTAACTTTAAACTTAACAATCATTCATAGCGATTGATTTGTATCGACTTAAGTTGTCAAACGAAAATATGTTTCTATTCGTCTTGGAATTAAAAACATATATGCTTTTAACTAAGTTTATATTTATTTACTAAATGCCCTAAGACTCTGGACCACTTCGACCTGCTCCTTTAAATTGTTATTTCTTTTAATCAGTACATGTAATTGGTTATTTTAGTAAGATCGACAGTTAAGACCTATTTTTCTAACTGTACTGTAACATGTAACGATAACGTTTTGTTTATTTAATATTTTCACAGTTTTCAAACAAATAAACCCTGTATGGTTGTCTGATTATGTTATAAATGTTATTGAGATGTTATTCAAACGATTAAAAACTGCAAATGTGAACTTTTAGCTTTAGCTATATGAAAATCGACCGTTTAGCTGAGAGTTGAGCTTGTTGACAACATTTTATAACAATTCTAGCAGTTTATTATTTTTTGTTTGTATTTTTTTTCTATACGCTGTTTGTGCCTAAGCTCCCAACAAAATGGCGGATCATAAAACAATGAGAACAACATAAGATATTAACAAAACTTTTCCGCAATAGGTGTCGCCTCTACCGACCCAAAACCACTTCCTTACTGCAATTTCCTTACAAACTAGTCTTAAATATATAAATCGTTAATTTAAATTTGTTAGCTAATCTACTGTGATGGACTGTCGCTTAATGTATGTGCTGTTACTGACTTCTTACTACTATAGATACAAAAGAGAAAAAATGTATTTTATTTAGGAAGATTGTGACATAAGCACCAGGTATAACGGACGATTGGGGTAGGTACTTATGATTCTTTTTATAATTATGTCGTAAACAAAAGCAGCTAGACATTACAACTTTGGCTTTTTACCTAAATATGTTCGCGTAAAGATAAAAAATCTACTATAATTTCGACACTACGTAGGTAATATTAATGGACTCACGAATTGGACAAAATTACGAAGAAGTACTTATATATTTTTTTTATTCATTCAATGTATTTAAGTAGTTAGGTAGTAGGTATGTAGGTACGCTAAATTTTAATTTTTATTCATTTATCACAAAAAATGTGATGCCTCGTTTCGATGGGCGGAAGTTTTAACATTGAAATGTTAATCTAAAAGTTACAACAATAATCATAAATAAGTAATGTCAACGCTACCTATATACTAAAACTTAAAAATTATAAGATCTTAAAAAATACTAGGATCCTTTCACAATTTACAACTACAATAATAATTAGGGTACAATTATTTCAGTTCTTACTGTGCTATTAACAAAAAAATCAGAATAATAAGAGAATTTATAACAGTTAAGGTAACCACTCCCTCTTGGAGTACTTCTTACCTTATTAAAACTAAATAATATCCTGACTACTCGTCAATGTAATTATATATTTACAAATTATTTACAACATGTAAAGACGTAGGTGCGTAGAATCTTGAATACACTCTAAGTTTCCTTACGATATATTAGAATAATAATATTTTACTTGAAATCGTACCTACTAGACAAATAGTATGAAATCTATGAAAATGTGAGACGGTCGATTTCTAAGGGACGAAGTTTGGTACGGCTGTTAGGAGAATTTCTTGGACGTTTTGTTACCACGAGGAAGAAAAAAAAAGTCACTTGATCTCACAAAGTTTCAGTGACCATTTTACTAATGAAAATCCACGAAGGGAAACAGAAAAATTTCGGCTGTGTTAGATTCAAAGAAACCTACAAACAGAAGCTAGTAAAGCAACGAGGAAATTAGAATTATTGCTAATTTTACAAAAACGCATTTTTTTATAAAAGTAAAAACTTAAAAAAAGTATTCGAAAAACATTATGGTTTTTATTTTATTCTGTTCTCAACGTGACTAGCAATCATTTAATAGGTTTCAAAATATAAAATACAACATATGTATCAAACTTTTGTTTAAATTAAATGAACATTCGGTAGATATACTTAGATATAGGTAATGAACCCAATTGTAGGTTAGCAAACTCAATAAATGATATTCCATCGCGAAAAATGTATCATCAATTATTCTTAAATACAGATTACAATATTTCTTACAATGAAAAACCATCCCCATACCACACAATTTTATAAAAAAAAATACTAATCAAAATATTAAAAAAATATCAGTTTATGAATTTGAGATCATAACCAATTCAAAATTTCGTAAATATCACATAACATAACTGACCAAACCTACGAAGGTACAAAGTTCTTTAATTTTAAAGGATGGAATGAATAAAGTTAAAAAGTAGTGCGTGCGTAAGGACTAATAGAAAAACACTGTGATGTTTAATACAAATGAAAAGGAA